ATGCAGATTCATGTTGAAGATTTTTTTGGAGAAAGAAAATACACACACACACATACACTATTGGAGCATACGTAAATCATCCTATTACGTCCTGCCATTGATACTGTAATTTATAGACATTTTACCACATACAGACAATGATTTCCGATGTTGACAGGTATGACATTCTGTTAGATCGAGTGTCATATTATTAAAAGAAATTAGTTTGCGATTGTGTATAATGGAACACATCATAATATTAAATATATACTTTTTCATTAGAAATCCACTTTAAAAATAAAACGATTATATGCACCAGATTAACGTTGTAAAAGTCTATAATTATACCAGTACAATGATCTTAAATGTCTTTTAGGGATTTGTTCTCTCAAAATGACGTTAATTCTAACTCGAATGTTGCCAAAATGTTAGAATTTCCCCCATGCACGCCTAAGTAACGTTAAATCTTACCTCTTCACACTCCAAATGCAAGTTGTTTTCATTAAAAGTACGAAATATATGATTGTCTATACTCTATAGGAAGAAAACAGTTGTGTTTATATTATACAGTATGTTCCCGCATCATTTTTATGTATACAATATGTAAACTAGTCATCATGCAGCTCAGAGTGTGTTTTAAAATTCAGTTGGTACGTTGATCACAAAATGCAGAAATGCATCTGTTGCTAGGAGCTTAGTCCCACCTGACAAGTTTGAAACGGGGATTTTCTCACATATGGTGTGAAGATCCTTTGTATTTATGGAGCTGCATAGTATGAATTATTTTCTACACCGAAGGAAGGAAATCACAATTTAATTCCTGAATTTAGTATTTGTTCGTAAACAGTTCATCATAAGGTCGGCTACTCAGCGTTTCACACCTCATGGTTTTCAAATTGTAAACGTCCATAACAGAGCATCGTTAGTAGGTAAGAATATCGCAAATTTAGTAGTTCTTTCAAATCTGTCTTATTTCATACAAACTTCTCAGCTTGATTTTTAAACAACAGTTAAAATTTCTCAGAAATAGGCTGTTAACATATATACATTTAAAAGGACCACGATTTCTTAAAACACGATCTGGTAAAGGTTCTCGTTATATAATAAATACAGGATGTAAAAATTCATGATGCGTTTGAAGGTATAACTCTCCACAACGGCAAATTCATGTTGTAGAATGTTTCGCTTCTTGGACTAAATTTATATTAGTAGAACTAACAACCTCCTAACATACGAATATTTGATTATTCACTGGGATCGAATTATAAGCCTTTACACACAACATTTACAGTAGGCCCACAAATAACTGCTATTTACTAAGTGTCACACAAAAGTTGAAAACGCCCAGTTTTAAAAGCTACATTTCTTTACACGTTGGAAACACCAGAAAGACGCACAAGTGGACGACGTGCAAGTTACATGTGAGGTCCACAAATCTACTGTCCATATTATAGAGGTACAGTTCATGTGGTCAAGGGCGCCAGCAGAATAAAAAAAATAATAGGGGTGGTGGTAAAGTAACTCAAGTTTGAAAAAATTATGAAATCGAAATACAAATACCTTATGATTTTCCAATAACATAAACGAATAATTTTACATATCCAGTAATTTTTCTATTTGAAAATCCGGGGGGGAGGGGAGAGTGACCACCCTTGCACCTTCCTGCGAGCTCATGCATGTGGTTATAGTTATTGTAAAACAATGAAATAGAGACATTTCAAAATTATAATATGTTTGCACCTTTGTACTGTACATAATTGTATAGAAATGTAATTACCGGGGGTAAACTCTTAGAATGCTTTTAAAATATGGATATCGTTACTGGTACACTTCTTCAAAAACTGATACAAAGTCATTGCCTAAACACACGCACTTGTATGTTAAAAAACAACAACATTTTATTAATTTGTATGAATGTGTAATTTAACTAAAATTTGATCAATTGATATAACGTATTGTTATATTTAATGTATTTCTTTATAACTGAATAAGATTTTTGAATATATTTTTTAAGTTATATGCAATGTGAAATATATTTTAGCTACATTAATATAAAAGCACATCTTTTGTATTCACACGGAATATTATATCTTTGTCATACATTCAGATAATTAATTTAAAAACAAGCTTGTTTAAGTATGGTTATCAAACCTACATAATTCAACTGTACATGTATAACGGGTGATCAAGGTGCGTGTAACACTTGGTATCAGTACTTGGGTTCATACCGTTTTTTAAAGCAAATTGTTAAACCAGCTGTATAACGCCACCATTGAAGCTTTTTTCTTTCCTTTTTTCAACCACAGATACAGCTGACTCATCTATTATTAATATATAACCATTATCTTGATTCATTCTTTAAATAAAGTGTTTCAAATACACAGCTGCTTTAGTCTGTGGCGAATTCTTTAAGACCTCAGCGGAAATGTAGTCTCCATCACATTGTTTACGTCACCAGCAGCACAGTAAACCTGTTTCTATTGTTTAATATATTTTCTTATGCCAATTGGTTGAATATTCACAATTTCTAACAGCCATACGTTAATATGATATTCAGGTACTTGACGTGCAAATTATGCTAACGTGTTGAAATGTACTGCATTTCAAGATACTTAAAAGATATTAGCTAAAGAGATTAAAACAAATGTTGATTCATTTTGATCCGATTTATACGTAAGTTGTGTTATTTTGGCAGGTATTGTGTAATAACCTGTTGGTAGATTATCGCAGATCATCGTACACACGCCCTCAATTCATGTGCTGTTATTATAAGTATCGTTTTTCGCATAATTTTTAAATTCATGTTTTTATATATAAGCTAGTTAAATACAACTAAATATTATTGCTTGGCTTTCCATTGTTTATAGCAGCGGTTCTAAAACTTTAGCAGTCTGAGGTCTCCTTTCAATTGAAACTTTTTCCGGACCCCAATCTTATTGATGTTTTTTGTTTTGAATATATATATATATTCCGCCTACATAAAAATCTGTATACCAAAATTAAATGTTTTAATTCATATAAATTTAATTCTACGAAGAGTATTTTTTATTTTATAAATCATATTTTTTATGAAATTTCGGACATGATTCGCGGACTCCGGTTTAAAAAAACGCTCGTTTATAGCCTAAACTGCATATAGAACTATCAGTAATCAGTATCACAACCGATTATGTGGCTAATACGCTTTACGTATCATATCGCGTATTTGGAATATTACTGAGGTTTATTGAATTCAAATAATAAACAATCTTGACGTGTTATTAATGAAAACTTGTATTAAATCTTATGTGTACGAAATTATTGATATGAAGGGAAACAGCGAATAACGATGACAAAATGTTTGTAATATAAACTAGTCAGTGTTGGATTTTCAGGCTTAATAAGTGAACAACGACACGAATTCACAATCCAAGTAATGAAATATGGGTTAGTTTAAAAACTTTAAATATACCTTAAATAATTATAGAACTATATTTTGTACTTAGTTGTGCTAAAACGATTTAATTACTGGCGTATATATTATTAATAAGTGCTTATAAGTTGAACATTTATTGAACTTCAAAATCCGACAACAGGCTATTAAACTGTGTTACTGTTAGAACTGGGACAGCTTACCCAAATTTATCCACAGTTTTCCTGGGTTGTTAGAAGAATCATCCCTCCTCCTCGTAGTTTTTCCAGACATTTCAAAGTTCATATACATCAACAGTTTGAAATACAAATAATATCCTGTACTAGGTAACTAATAACTAAATTCATATCTTATTTCATTTAGTTTTATATCATACTTTACCAGTAACCTATTTACACATCAATATGTCTGCCATTTTGTTGTTTGTTCTCTCTCCCCCCCTATCTCGTGTGATTATATTTGGTATTGTTGCGCCATCTACACTGCGATTTGGAAGTAATATTTAGAGAAACACGATAGACATATTTTGGTGGTTAAACTCGAATTACTCAATATGTTTATTCTTAAACTGACAAAAGTTTAACCATAATTAATTTGCCAAATATTTGATACTGTAACAAAAAAGGCATAGCTAAACTCAAGCATATACGTTTGATCTGTTAGCTGAACTATTTTCTGTTATCGGGAGCATACAATTCTTACTGGAAGTTAAGGGAGGAAGCTACCATTGAATTTCGCAACATACAGATGTTTATATTTTGTTTGTCACCCAATATTTAAGTGTACTATATAATACATTTTTCTTTCATAAACCACAAAAAAGTCTACGTTTGGAATAATTTATCTGATTATTTTTAAATTTTACCTGGAATAAATCACTAGTTTAGCATGTCTTTGTATAATTGGTGGTGCTTGGGATAAATGTAAAGCTGCTTGTTTGTTGTGTAGTAATATACTAGTTAATGAGCATTATAAAAGCGCATTATAAAAAATTGCATAAGTTCTGTGGGATTATACGTTAGTTAAGAATTAGGTAATATGAATTTGATGTCTAACAACAGGTTTAAATCAAGTAAATGGCTTAAATAGTGCAAAGGCCCTTTGAGTTTAAAAAAACATATTTACCAGGTAGTTAAGGATGTAGTCCATTTAACATTGAGTAAGAATGAGTACATTTTTAGGCAAGTATTCATAATTTTTTGTTCAATTCCTGTGTATATCTGCAAGATTCCTTTTTTGAGCAAACATATTATTAAACTTGAGTTTTCATATATGTGCTCACTTTATTATATTATTTATACTCTGAATGCTCATATTTACATCAAATAAGATTCTTCTGCTCCTGTATTAATGTATGATTTTCATCATATGTGTGAATGTTTCATAAGAATTGAACTTTGTAAGTTGTTCAAAACAATTATAACTAACCCAAAGATATCGGTAAAGAATGACGTCATTAATTTGCAGATAGTTACCCATTATGAAAAAATTGTTTTATTTCCCCACACTGGAAATTATTCATCATAATATATGAATTTTTATTAATTTACGACATTTAGAAAGATTATTTTTTTATATACATTTTGTTTTGTTTTATTATCTTCTCTAGATCCTTGCCTTTACATTGTAAGATTTGCACATAGATTAGAATTTGGTGAGCGCACTCATGAAGTCTCTATGACAGCACTAAGATTAGTACAAAGAATGAAACGAGACTGGATGCATACTGGTAGGAGACCCTCTGGATTATGTGGTGCAGGTTAGTCTGTCAAATGTTTTTTATATTCTTATAACTACAAACTTTAAATTCATGCTTTGAATCTGTTAAAGTATGTTTCAGAATGTAATTAGTTATATATGTGTTGTCTTTCTGTGAGATTTCATTTAAATCTTAAGAAGTACAGGATTTAAAATTAGAAAATGTATGTTTAATTATGCTTTGCTTGAAATATATTTGAGTGCTTGCTACTTTAGGGCTCACAGAAAATGTGAAAAATTAAAACCTGTGCTAAAGATTATACAATTTGTTTGTGATGCAATCTACATGTTAAGACTAGTATGGTTGTTATTCTATTTATCAAAATATTTGAAAATGGTCTGTCCATGAAAACATAGCTAGATTGTATGAAAATTACTAACAGTTTTATTCTAAATAAATTTAGTAAACACTATTTGTAGCTTAAGTTTCAAAGTTACCTGAATTAAATGCATAGTGAAATTATACTACTCATACCAGATGCTTCCTTTTGAAATTAGTGTTGTTAATTCTTATGGTCCAATAGTAAACTTTAAGTATACAACAAGGTAATTAAGTTGGTTACTCATATGTTTCTTTCTGGTCATGTGTTTATTTCATTCTTCAAAATCATCCTAGACTTATGTATAAATTTGCTTTACATATTGGGTGGATGGGGGATATATGTTTTTCTATTGTATGTGTTCATGGTATGTAACTACAGTATTACAGCACAAAACTGGTATTCTTTGTAAAATACCTAGTCACTTAAATTGTTGTTTAGTGTGTACAGGCATTCATTAATAGTATGGCTCCACTATTTTCATTTTAGACTAAAAATAAATTTACAAAAACAATTATGCATCACAAATTTTTGTTCTTACTTGTTTTATACATGTAGTTATTTTTTCAGCCCTTCTAGTTGCAGCTCATCTTCACAATTTTAATCGAACTGTGAAAGATATTATAAAAGTTGTGAAAGTTTGTCAAGCTACTCTCAAAAAGAGGTAATGTAGTCCACTTTCTGTATTTGATATTAAACTGATTGTTATTTTAGCCTGGTTATAATTTATCAGTTCTGGAGTAGATATATGGATACAATAATATGGCCCTGAGTGATGATTAAAATAAGTTAATATCTTGAAATATTAGTTTATTTCTCTGAAACTACTTTATTAAAGAAAAACATGTTAGACACAACTTATAGTTGTAGTATGAAAGATTATATTAGGTAATTTTTTTATGAATTTTTAGTAGCTCCCCTCTAGATAGTGCCAAACTTTTTTAACTTGTTATAAAAATTATTCTGTGATACATTAAGTGAAATACTTATTTCTCTCTGTCCCTGTCTTTAAGAACATTATTACATAAGGTGTGATTAAGGAGATGATTCATTCACACTTCAACATTGGAGTATGATAATTCATTTGACTTTTCTTGGCAGTTTTGTAATGTGTGTTTTTCAGTTTTTATTTACTAATACCTGGGATTTAGTCATTAAAATGATAGAAGCTTGCATGATTTGCTTTATAAGGTTAACAGAATTTGGAGATACACCATCGAGTAAGTTAACAATAGAAGAGTTTATGACTATTGACTTAGAAGAAGAACAGGATCCTCCTAGTTTTAAAGCTGCTCGCAAAAAACAGAAATTACAACAGGTGAATTTTCTTTATCCATTATTGCTTTAAGTTCAAGGTACTTCTCTAGATTTTAAGTATTTGTCTAAATGTGTAAACCTGCTAATAATATCATAGTACAAAATGAAACATTTCAGTTAGAATTATTATAAGATATCTAGACTTTATATAGTCAAATAACAGTGTACATTTTGGTAAACTAGTTACAAGAAACTGATATTTTGAAAATTTCTTACTTCTGTGTATAAGCTCAGTATATAAAGTCAAAATCTTTAAAAGCTCACCAGGTTTTAAGAACAATAATAAATTAATTTATAATTAATAATGGTTATCAGCTAGAGGTATAACTTTTAGTTGTGGAAGATACATATGTTAGCAAAAAGTATTGTATACAGTACATAACGTAATAATATGGTTTTACCTGGCTGCTATAAAACCTTAGTGGTGAGGCCAGCTTTGTAAAGTTCAAACATAAACTTAACACAAATTTGTAAGTAAATCTTAAAAGTAGATTTTACCAAATTATTTTATACAGTTAACAGAATTGCACAGTTTACCTTATTTGTCTTTAGTATCCATGTTTCATGGCTAATATCTCTCTATTTTGAATGAAAACCATAAAAATTAAACTAAGATGTCAGAGTTGTATCATATGATCACTAATATAACAAACTGTATGAAAGGTTAAAATGAGTATAAGAAATATAAAGTGGTCTTTTATATATATATGAATAATGTAAAAAACTCAAAATAAAACTTTTTTCTATGACAGTTGGATGACCAAAGTAAAGAAGAAATGTCAAGTAAGATTTCGCAGCTCCAAAAGACCATAGAAAGGGCCCTAGAAGAAAGACAGCGGATACTTAAAGGACCATACTCCAAATATGCTAAATTTTCTGAAGCTACCACTCAAGGTGAGTGTACAAAGTTAACTTATCTGACCTATTCTTTCATTATGGATGAGAGGGGTTTCTGATGGAGACAAAAGCTTTTGCCCTTCCTCTCCAAATTTGGCTGCATCTGAATAAATTCTGTAATCTTTAAGTTTAACTATCATTTAGTCTGGTCTCTTGAGTGGTGATTTATTTTTAGGTTTGAGTTCACTTGAAAAGGTTCATGTCAGTGAAAACAATCATTTTAATTTGGAACTTTTTTTATTGTTTTGTTTTCAGTATATGGGCCTTGTTACCCTGTAAAGAGTATCAACTATCTGATGGAGTTTGTTATTATACAAGTAGAATGTTGATCTAATTGTGACATCCTTTTTTTAGAATATTTCATCCAATTTTCCAGGTCAGCATATGTGTTTCATGTTCTCTTTTAGCAGCTTGCTTCTTTCTCTCCATTTATTTCTGATTTAACCAAACTTATTCATCAATATTGAAAATTCAGTATCTTACAACATAGAAATAATTGTTAAAAATTGAATTATCTTTAAATGAGATATCTGCATTAATAAAAGAAATATCACATTATGTTTAATTGTTTATCCTCTGTGGAATTAGTGAATGAAAATACTTTGTTCAAGCATCTCTAACCATTATAAACACATATAAGTTAACTTTAAGCACGGGCTTGGTCCCAGGGACTGACCTTGTAACCATTTTGTGCTTGTTATAGTTTCCATGCTATAACTTTTAAATTAGTAAGCAGATCTACACGAAATTCTGCATATTATCGGTAAACATTACAAGGCTTTTGTACAGAAAACATCATATTTTTTTAAGTTTTAAGATTTCTTAAGTAATGTTTTTCTCATGCCTTTTTTCTTTTTGAATGTTGACTATCCAACATGCAAAGTAATTTTGATTTTAAGATTAAAAATACTTTCATGAATCAGAAAAATTTTCAGATTTCACATGCGAAATCTTTATAACCTCCAGATAATTATCAAACATTTTTTTAGAAAAAACATTATATTTTATGTGTTATTTATGTTACTATATCTCTGTATGGGTTGGGTTGATTTGACTGACCTCGAAATCCACCATAAAAAATTAGGAAATAAATATAAATTATGCTTTTTTTTGTTCTAGAATGACTACAGATTATAACACAAAAACACAAATGTTTAGTCTAAATAGCTTAAATCTCATAACATTATACATCTATATATATTTATTATTTTATTATATTGACCTTTCAGCCATGCCTGGCTAAAATTATAGAAGTTGCAATGATGCGGCTCATGTGCACTCCTGTTACTGTATCCAAGAGTATAAAACTGGTCTTTACAAAGTGACCTGTCTCTGCTGTGTTTTAGTGGACTAGTAAATACAATAACATTTCAGTTATAATTCATTATATATGTATATACATTATTACTGTATACAAACAAGTTATTAAACTTATTTTTCTTTAAACACAGAACAATAAATAAAGAAGTATCACAAACAATTATCTCTTCTAGTTACGAACTTTGTACCCATTTGCTGTTTGCCGTAGGTTGCTAAGCCTTATCAAATTTTGCACACGGAGGATGTGAAATGAAATAATTTTTCTAGGTTTTATATATACATTTTGAAATAACAAAAAATCTTAAATTACTATATAAATACCACAGAATTCCACTATAATTTATCAAGCTTAGTAAATAAGCTGTATTTGGGTCTTAAAAAATACGAAATTTTGAGCTCACGAATGTCTTATGTTACCACTTGGAATCTAGCATGAAAAGAAAGAGTTTTGCCGCTCAAATACTTTGTAGAAGCTGAGAAAACCATTAGAGGGACATTCTGAGCTTTTGATTGGTTATACACAAATCATTGGGTCAAGTAGGTGTTCATAAGCAGGTATTTTCAAAAATTGAAGAGGTGGGCAGGGCCACCTTGGTTGATTCAATAAATATGTTAATATCTCAGAAAATAGAAAAGATAGGAGATTTTTATTTTACATTCAAGCTTGTCAAGATTAGTAATTTGAGTATCTAATTCATAAGAGACTATAGACTTTGTATTTGGACATCACAGACAGTTAATTTGAACCAATGCTGCGTTCACTGTACTACGTGACACAAAAATCAATATTTAGTTTTTTTAATATTTACTTTTAAATTAAGAAATTAACTGATGTATGATACTAATATTTGAATTATAATGTATAATTTGATACCAAATTTATTGACATACATTCATAAAATAGTAATTCAATAAAATTTTAAATGTTAGTGAACGAACGCGATGACATGGCCTTTGACTCAAGTCTGTAGGGTTAATGTTGGCACATTATATCTGCATGAGCTTTGGAAGAGCAACATCATATGTAGGTTTTTTTTATGCTGCTTGACATAGGAAGTAGATGTATTAGTTTCTTCAGATAGCATGTACTTCTGACTGGCTTTCTTCTGGGCCGTAGTTCAAAATTAAGGGTGGCTATGCCTGAATCATAGGGGTCTCTGATGGTCATTTGTCCCATTGTGTTTGTTTAGTACAAAGCTACACAATGGGTTATCTGTGCTATGTGAACTTATTGCCAATCCAGCAGGGAACAGTTCATTATGTACATAAGATGTCACTCTTGTGAATACATGAACAATAAATATTTTAATTGTTGAGAGTTGATATCACATGGTCTATAAATTAACCTGGATATATATACTATGCTTTATATACTGCCAGGTTTCATTTTTTGAAAATTGACTTAGTTGTTTAGTGTTTAATGTCATTAAAGTCTATAACAATTATTTTTCTTATCTACTTAATTCCGTTCAAGTCTCTTATCAATTGAGAAAAACAAGCCAAATTTGAATAAATCGTTTTTAAGCCATGGGTGTTATATGTGTTTTCAAAGTGAACTGATAAAGCTATCAGTGTTTTAGCTTTACTTTATTAGCCTTATGAAATTTTTTTTTTTGTTTCAGAAGAGGAAGAGGAAGAAGTTGATTCTGTCAGTTCTGAAAGTCAAATTGCCTCTCAGTTTGTTTTAGAAGAAACTATTGAATCAATTAATGAATTTGTAAATGGGGTAGAAGAGGCCCCTGCTAGAAAACTGTTGCAGCCAGATACTGCAAACCAGGAAGAAGCAAAATTGATGAAACTTCAAGGCATAGAGACAAATTACACAACAAATACCTCAGAAACTTTTAAACATCAAAGAGATAGTTTATCATCTGTCAAAAAATCTTTAAGGCCTACAGCAGCCAGTATTGGTTTAAAAGAATCCATTGAAGAATGTATGAAAATTAAAGATAGCCCAGGTAAAAAAGATGCATGTTTATATGAAGATTTCTGTATTTTTTGCATTAGTAACTGTGTATCAATATTATGTGTTGTAAAAATAATATATGCCATAAAAATCGCTTGACTCTTCATAATTTCCAGTTTTGTTATTGCCTACAATTCATATAACGTATGAATTTTTGTTTTATGAAAATTCAAAATTTGTACTGAACAGGCCTCCCAGTAACCATATATTTGTTTCGTTTTATTTCCATATATTTTCCTGCTTTTTTCAAAAATAGCCCTACTGTTGGTGTCCATAGTAAATTAATGTTGTTCATAGATAGATAAGCAGATTTCAAAGTACAGCTGTTTTGTTTGATGTTCATTGCAAGTGGTCCATTAACTTTTAGATTGAAGGTACTCTTTTTTAATTACACTTCATCATCCAAATAAAATTATCTGAGGGATTCTTACCATTCAAATGTTCTGTTTTCTGATATATGTTACTTCATACATAGCATTAATATTGATGTAAAAGAACATGAAATTTTAAAATTTTATTTCCTTGTTTAAATATAAGCAGCATGAACAAGTTATTCAAAATATATCTTGACATTAATTTTCTGTAATGTAATACAGCTTAAAACAACATTCATTCACGCATTGAAAACTAACCAGCTTTGGCATTGATTGCATATTGTGTTGTTTTACCATTTTTTCAGTTTGTTTTTTGAAAAGATACAACCCTACTTTTTTGTCCTAGTTTTTATTCATATTGTGCTGGGAAGCCTGAAGTTGACAAAATGTACATGTATGTTCAAGGACTGTTTTGTCCTCTAACCATTAAATAAAAGTACAAGTAATTCTTAGTGCTATTATGTAATGAAAATGAGCATACTCAAGGCTGTGAAAAAGAATTTTTCTCTCCATTGTTTAATAACCATAATCAAAATGTTTTTTTTTTCGTGTTTGCTTTTGTGACAAATGACCCGTGAGTGAAAAAACAAACAAACATGGCTATGCAGTATGGTTTATGAAGGTGTTATTTTGACTCCAGTAATAATTTTCTGAATTTCAGAAAAAAAAGGTTAGGTTTTCTGTATATTGTGTAAATAGTAAGTTTGTGATACTTTATCACAAGTTGTTGAAATGAGAATATCTTTCAGTATTGGGTTTCTTATGTGTGTGTTTATTGCCATAACATACACCATATTGATTAAGTTTTAATAAGTATATTCCAATTTATTGTGATTGTCTGAAATTGCTCTTAAGAAAAATGAAATATTTGGTTAATACTTCCTCCAAGTACCTCAATAAGTACCCAGCCAATCTGTTGGTTGAAATATCACCATACATTTCTTATCCTTTATCAATGATTTTAACTGTTTCTTTATGTTTTCAGGTTTTATTTTGTTGTAATTAAATTTTTTTTCATTACATTGACTGTTAAGAGAACTCAACAAAAATACTCTTTAAGTAATTTTAATTTGCAAAGAAACAAACAATAATTTGAGTTTTCTTATATTTCAACCTGTTTTGATAAAGAAAGGGATACATAACAAAATCTGTTATCTAGAATGTTAAGTTTAATTTACAGTTCTTGTGAATTTATAGCACGTAGTTTCTCAAGTACTATGCTTGAAATCCATTTTTAACCAGCTGGAGTACATGTTCCCTGCCCCTGACGTGGATTCCAGTACGTGGTGAGGGGACCT